TGCAGTATTCGAGATGAGGGCGTACCATCGATTTATATAAGGGCAATAATATATTCTCAGTCTTATTCTCTATCCCCTTTTTAATTATCCCTAACATCCTGTTTGCTTTTTTGACCGCCTCTGCACACTGCGCGGACATCTTCAGAGAACTATCCATGATGACTCCAAGATCTTTTTCCTGACTTGTTGTAGCTAAATTAGCCCCATCATATTGTATGGATAGTTGCGGTTATTTTTTCCAATGTGCATTACTTTACATTTATCCACATTAAATTTCATTTGCCATTTTGTTGCCCAATCACTTAGTTTTGTGAGATCTTTTTGAAGTTCTTCACAGTCTGCTTTGGTCTTAACTATCTTTAGCAGTTTAGTATCATCTGCAAACTTTGCCACCTCTCTGTTTACCCCTTTCTCCAGATCATTTATAAATAAGTTTTATAGGATTGGTCCGAGGACTGACCCTTGGGGAACACCACTAGTTACCCCTCTCCATTCTGAGAATTTACCATTAATACCTACCCTTTGTTCCTGGTCTTTTAACCAGTTCTCAATCCATGAAAGGACCTTCCCTTTTATCCCTTGACAACTTAATTTACGTAAGAGCCTTCGATGAGGGAGCTTGTCAAAGGCTTTCTGGAAATCTAAGTACACTATGTCCACTGGATTCCCCCTTGTCCACATGTTTGTTGACCTCTTCAAAGAACTCTAATAGATTAGTAAGACACAATTTCCCTTTACCAAAACCATGTTGACTATTGCTCAACAGTTTATGTTTTTCTATGTGTCTGACAATTTTATTCTTAACTATTGTTTCGACTAATTTTCACGGTACCGATGTTAGACTTACCGGTCTGTAATTGCCGGGATCACCTCTAGAGCCCTTTTTAAATATTGGCGTTACATTAGCTAACTTCCAGTCATTGGGTACAGAAGCCGATTTAAAGGACAGGTTACAAACCTTAGTTAATAGCTCTGCAACTTCACATTTGAGTTCTTTCAGAACTCTTGGGTGAATGCCATCTGGTCCCGGTGATTTGTTAATGTTAAGTTTATCAATTAATTCCAAAACCTCCTCTGGTGACACTTCAATCTGTGACAGTTCCTCAGATTTGTCACCTACAAAAGCCGGCTCAGGTTTGGGAATCTCCCTAACATCCTCAGCCGTGAAGACTGAAGCAAAGAATCCATTTAGTTTCTCCACAATGACTTTATCGTCTTTAAGCGCTCCTTTTGTATCTCGATCATCAAGGGGCCCCACTGGTTGTTTAGCAGGCTTCCTAAAGTGTCTTTTTGCAATTTGACACTCCTGAATAAGCCAAATCACTGGCAGCTTCTCTTCCAGCATCTGCCCTGCTTTCTACTAAACTATTGTTTCTGCAACCAATATTTCATTGCTTCACTGACTGGAGCAGAACATCCAGAATCAAATGCTAATGACAGCCGTTCCTTTAACCAATAACAAAATCATAGATCCAGCATTAAACTTCACCAGTTCTTTGCAGATTCATAGGCAGGATGCAGAGGTGAAAGTAAGCCGGTACGGCGTACTGGTAAGAGCCGGTACACAGCCGACCGTACTGGTAGGGGGCAGCTTCCCTAGGTGGGCACTTTAAAAGGGCACTAGGCTCCCTGGACCCTTTAAATCACTGCCAGAGCCCTGGGGCTCCCGGCTGCCGCCACCGCTATAGCTCCCATGGGACTCAAGCAGTGATTTAAAGGTCCTGGGGCTCCCGGCCACCGCCACTGCTACAGCTCCCATGGGACTCCAGCGGTGATTTAAAGGTCCAGAGGCTCCCGGCCGCCGCTACTGCAGCTGGGGCCCTGGACCCTTTTAATCACCGCCAGAGCCCTGCTGCTGGAGCCCTGGGGTAGTGGCGGTGGTGAGAGCCCTGGGGCTCCGGCAGCGATTTAAAGGGCCCTAGGCTCCCAGCAGCCGGAGCCCTGGGCCCTGTAAATCACCACCAGAGCCCTGGGGCTCCCAGCCACCGCTGCACCTACTGCTACCATGGGGCTTTGGTGGTGATTTAAAGGGCCCGGGGCTCCCGGACGGCGCTACCGAAGCTGAAGCCCCGGGCCCTTTAAATTGCTGCCAGAGCCCCGCCCCTTCTGCCTGAGGCCCCGCCCCTTCTGCCTGAGGGACACCCCCTCCCCTGCCTTTTCAGGACCCCGGCCCTGCGTACCGGTAAGTCCCTTAAGTTACTTTCACCCCTGGCAGGGTGTGACCCTGGTGATGTGACCATGCAGGGCAGTAAGGGAACATTAGCTAGTATAGGGCGACCCCTACCTCCTCTATGGCAGCTACCCATACACAGGTAGCAGCTGAGGGACAGAGCCGCCTCAGTGAGGCCGCCACTCCCCCTCCAGATGGCTAGTGCCATGTCTCTGCTTCCCTACGCTCCAGCCGGCACAACTGAGAGGTACAGAGGAGCAAGGACTGTTCAGTGGTTAGGGCACTAGCCTGGAACTCAGGAGACCTGGGTTCGAGTTCCTGTTCTCTCGCAGCCTCACTGTGTAACCTCGGAAGAGTCACTTGGGGCTGGTCTAGGTGGGGTGAGTTAGCGCGTGGCAAGCGGGACTGTAAATCTACAGCACACAAAGTTGCTTAGTGTGCTGTCGATTACATCCCAGTTCATTGGGCACTAATTCGCTGTGTAGAAAAGACCCTAGTCTTAGCGCCTTAATGGGTGGAGTGAGGCTAAATACATTAAAGACTGAGTGTTTGGGGCCATGTAATTACATAAGTTAGAAAAGAGGAAGCAGCCTCTGGAAGGCCAGGCAGTAATCCAAGGGCTCTCCAAAAAAAAATCAGGTTCCTAGGCTGCTCTTGGGGCTGGAACTAAATGCTGCCCCTTGCTTGAGGTGAACCCATTGTAAATATGTAAAGCCCCATATAGTCAAATCCATCCTCTAAGTTGCAGAACTGGTGCCACAGAGATTTCACGTGATCATTCCTATTCTCATCTCTTCTCACTAAACACAACTATTCCAGAGCGTCTGCACAAGCCTGCTGCATAGTTGGAAGTACAGGCAGACAGTGTGTGGTCTGTGTTCTGGGACTTAATTAAACATGCCTGGCACCTAGGTACTCTGGTACTAGGTGGTCTGAAAAGATCTATGTAAGTTGATAGATTAACTAAACAGGAAGCAGCATGGGCCCATGGTGTGGGCACAGGATTGGCAGTTAAAGTAGGTGCGTTCTAGTCCTAGCTCTGTTGATATGTTCTGAGAGCTTGGGCAATTCACTGAACCGTTTGCAACAAATGCAAACACTGCAGAAAATGGCCACGATTACTCTGCAAACAGCATACACCAGGCACTGGGGTTAGAACCTTGGACCTTCAGCTCCAAACACTCATGGTTCTTCCTACACATAAATCCAAAACTTTTCCAGTCCCAGGTGTAGCCTTACAGGCTGTCCCTGCCCTAACGGGTTGAATGAGAGCATTGTGGTATTATAAGGCAATGGAGGGGCAGCAAGAACACCTGGAAGAAGCTATGGAGGAGAGCCCTCCCATTTGGTCTCTGACTTGTGTGCTTCCTCTCTTTCTTCTTCAGCCTTCGCTGGTCAGTTATGAGGTTCAACTGGAAGAGGTGGTGATGCAGCCATTGTTCCCATTCATTTCTGACATTTGAGCCCGCCAGACGCATTACATCTGGAGCAACAAAGGCTGGAGGCAGAAAAAATAACACTGTGGGTGAGACAGCTCTCTGTCTTGGATGATCGATGCAGGAACAACAGAGCTTGACTGTTTGATGGCCTCTGACTCACCCGTACTGATGTGTCCTATACGGGGCAGGCATTCCTTGGGCTGGTGCAGGTCACTGAAAAACATGTGGTAAGAGGCTGCAGTCCATCACCTAGGTCAGAGAGGGGAACAAACACAGACTCTCTGTGCTGTGCTGCCAATCAAGAGAGAGGTAAGGGAATCATTGTCTACTGATGCCTTGTCTCAGGAGACCTCCATACCCGCTATTTAGTCTTAATCACCTTTAAAATGAGGCTGTAGAAGACCATGGTGCTAAATAAATGGGACATTTTCCACAAATGAGGTATATACTTATATTTATATATGTCCTGGCAAAACTCTGCTTGTACGTTCTGTCCATTTACATGTCTCCTTTCTCCTTTGCCTCCAGGTTGGATTCATATCATAGCATGCTGGATTTCGTGAGTAACACAAATTCTTCAGACATATTAAAGGAAACAAGATCTGCAGTCACTTCAGGAGGACACAAGAAATGCTTCATTGTTTGCTTTTTTTTTTTTTAATCTCTTTTATAGGTAGAAATGGGTCTGAGCAAACCCCCCTGGATTTGAAGACTCTTGTTATTTGGAGTATTTGAATTCCAGATCCAGATGCAAGTTTTTTGTGGCTCATACCCATTGATCATTTTTTTAACATCTGCTGCATCTTTAATATGTATAATCAAACATGTCCTAAAACATCACCATGGCTTTGGGGGACACCAGAGAGAAATGTACCTTCTTGAAAGGAATATTTTACTGTGTTATGGGGGCAGAAATAAGACAAACCAGCCTTCTCAAAAACAGGCAGAAGCAAAACATCTAATCTATCTAATCTATCTATCAGTTGCATCCATCACTGTAATATCTGTCATCTAACTTTATGCTCAGTCATCAGCAATCTGGTGAAAGCATGCAGTGTAGCACCAGTCCCCCACATTCAAGATTATCTTCCCCAGTATTCCACAGTATTTCTGTTCAGGCTTAGACTATAGGGGTTTTGAGTTTTCCCAACATGCCTTTCTGCAGTGACCTCCTTAAAGAGTCATGGTGGCAAGAAGAACATTGTTTATCAAAATACTCAAACCAGCCCCGTGCAGCTGCCAAAAAGACACATTTCTTTCACTTGGTTTCAGCTGCCAGGAGAGGTTCCTTTTGTTCATCAAAGAGCACCCTTTACCCATAAAATTTCAGGCGAAGTGTCAGCTAACAGGTCCCCATTTGGGACCTTCTGAGCTGCTGGGATTTCCAGTAAAAGAATGGGCTTTTTCCCTAGCTGCTGCTGCTTCCAAGGATGCTCACAGAGACCTCCCATCTCCCCTAGCAGCCTCCCTCCTGTCCTGGGATTTTATGAAGCAGAGTTAAGAATCAGTGCAGTTAATCCATACTACGCCATCACAGAATCCGCTCCGGCACAGAGCCCAGACTAGGAAATGTAAATACATTGGGCAACAGTGGGAACAAGAAGGGAAATCCGGGGGGGGGGGGGGGGCATTTAACTGGTACCTTCAATCAGACTGAGAGATGAGTAGCAGGGTCTAAAATAACCCTGCCTATCTTACACTCCATTGCTTGGGGGAAGGGGGGGGGTGCTGAATGGGGCCCAGGCACAAGAACCAAGATTGACAAACTCTGAAATACCCATAGTTCTAAGGAAACCTCTAACAATGTTTTCCCCACCTCAAAGAGTCCCCAAATGGCTTCCTGGCAGTTAGGGATAGCATAAATTACCAGCACTTGTGAATTAGCAAATGCCCTTATTATCACATAGGTGGTGATGCTGGGCTGGTAAATTGAATCTTTGCAAATCAGGGTGGTGTTTGCCAGGTCTCCAGCCTGTGTCAACACAGCTCTTTGAGTGAGGCCTCTCCTGACCCCTTAGCTCCTAGCTGCAGGGCTAGAGGGGGATGCAACTTGCTGCACAGTCTGGAATTTTTCAGCTTTTTTCTTCTTTTGGCCATTGAATGCTGTCTGAGAAGCGGCAGGGGGTAGGAGAGACAGAGGGAAAGAGAGAGACACAGAGTCAGACACAGACAGAAAGGAAAAGGTATGGTGCATAAAGAGGAAGAGAGGGAGAGCAATAGATAGTGATACAGAATGAGGACATGAGCTAAATCCCATTTACACATGGAAAACCAGCTCCTGGTAGAGATGAGTTGAGTACACATAGGCCCAAATTCCCTGTTGGAGTAACCCTATTGACTGCCCTGGAATTACAGCAGAAGGGAAAACGGTTCACACTTGGGAGCCAGATTTCAAAGATATTTGAGGTTTCTGGCTCTTCCCATAATAGCAACGCAGCCAGGTACAAAAATCGGAGCGATATCAGGATCGAGATCCAGGTGAGCTTAACCCAGTCCTTGGCTTTGGTTTGGCCCTATGATGAGTTTCTGGTACTCGGGGTGGGCTTGTCAGAAGCACTTGGCATGGGCCTGATTCTGTTCTCATTGAAATGAATGTGAGTTTTACCATTGGCTTCCTTGGGGAGCAGAGAGAGGCCCCCACCAAGAGCTTCTGACAGTCCAAGCCGTGACGAATGAACGTTGACCATGTTTATATACTTGTCTGGCAACCATAACCACCAGAGCGTGCTCATCCCTGCAGCTGTGCGTGTGGGGCTCCCATTGACTTCAGTGGGAGTGGCCCCCATGTACCTTACGGGATAAGCAGGAAGGGCCTTGTCAATGAGACCTGGAGCTGAATAGACAGAAGAGATAGCAGGCCAGTAAAAGAAAGCTAAGAAAGAAAGACGGTTGCACAGGCCAGTTAGGAGAAGCTCTAACCTGCTTCTACTTTTACGCCGTGTAGCGCAGATTTTCATACAATTTCATGGAAAAAGCAGAGCTACTTTGGGAATCACATGCAGATTATACAAAATTGCTGCCCTCCCTCCTAGAATCTGGTGTCAGGTATGTGACTATCTAAATGGATTAGTATATTCACCGTTCCTGATTCAGTGCCCGTAAGAATCAGTGGAAAGACTCCCATTGACTTCAGTGGGGGCTGAATTGGCCCCAAAGACTTTAAAATTAAAAGGCACCATTATGTTCTCTAGTCTGGCCTCCTACATAACACCAGCCATAAATTTCCACCAGTGATTCTTACTTACCAAAATAGGGCAAAGAAAGTGAAGGAAATGGCCCGTCCCTAGAAGCACCAGGCACATATTTCCTCTGCTAAAATGTCAAGAAGGATTTGGTGTGGAAGCTAAAGCAGGGATCCGTGCATGAGTCTCATTGACCCTGACAGGGCATGGCAGGTCACATTTTCCTGGGGGGAGACTGCCTCTTTATAACTCTCCAGTGTATCAGGCAGAGGCACCTTTCCAGTGATCTCAGGCTGCCCCTTCTCTTTACAGACCCCATCTGTGTTTACAGCAAGAATAATCTGCTCATGCAGATCTCTCTTCCAGGAACCTGGGCAGTGATGCAACAATACCCACCTTCCACCTCAGCGCTTTGTTGTCTGGAGTCTCCTTGAAGGCCGTAAAGTAAGCTAGTAGTTTTATTGCCTTTTCCCAGCATCAGTTCTGATTTGCTATCACAGGGATTGAACTTATCTCCCATCCTGGCCTGTGAAGATCTGATGGTAAAAGAAACAAATGCATGAACAGTATTCACTTAGTCTTTCTGCAGGGCATGACTGAGGAGCTTTGGCAGAGATGTGTGCAGGCTCGGCTGGAAGTGCATGGGGAGCTACAGGTGGGGACGGAGTACTTACATTCCTCCACAAAAATTCAGTGCCACCAGCCCAACTCAGCCAGTCACTGTGTGTCCCAGCGCTGGCTAAAGCATGGCCAATATACCTCCAACACTTGTATAGTAACTCCTCACTTAAAGTCGTCCCGGTTAACCTTGCTACGTTGCTGACCAATTAGGGAACATGCTTGTTTAAAGTTGTGTAATGCTCCCTTCTAACACCGTTTGGCAGCCACCTGCTTTGTCTACTGCTTGCAGGAAGCGCAGCCCGTTGCAACTAGCTAGTGGGGGCTTGGAACCAGGGTAGACCGGCAGTCCCCCTATCAGCTCCCCGCTCCCCTAAGTTCCCTGTGTAGCAGCTGCCCAGCAGGCTAGCAATTGCAGCTGTCCCTCCCCCCACTGCCATGTGCTGCTCCTGCCCTCTGCCTTGGAGCTGCTCCCCGAGACTCCTGCTTGCTGTGCGGGGGGCGGGAGGGGGGAAAGGAAGAGGGGGGCTAATGTCATGGTGTCCCCCTCCTCCCTGCTCCTGCACCCCGCATACCCCATCTTCCATAGAGCAGGGGGGACACACCAGGGATCAGGACAGAGGGAGCTTGCAGCAGCTGCAGTCTCAGCAAGCTGATCTAATTAACAAGGCAGTGTACTTAAAGGGGAAATGCACACATCTCCCTCCATTTCTGCTG